TTGCAAAGTAGTGAAACTGGCTTGGTAATGTCTTGTATTCAGTTTAATTCAGAACCTTTCAGTTCTTTGAGAAGCAGTATTTAAGTTTTCTTTTAGTTTTTTTGAATTTCTATAGAAGCAATTCTTTCAGAATAGTAGCAGGAAATAAATGAGGAAAAAGTCTAGATTCGAATGAAGTTTCTTCAACACTTTGTTCAGCTAGTCATTACCTTATTATGTTTTTTTTTTTTTTATTTTTTTAAAATAGGATCTTACATGCAGTCCACCCTGGCCTTGAACTTGTGGCAGTCCTCCTGCCTCAGCCTCCTGAGTGCTGGCATGATAGGTGTGGCCCCAATTCCCAGCTGTGCCATGCTGTGATACACTTTAAGGAGTAGTATCACACGGCGTGAACATTAACGTCATGCAAAATATAGGTTTTATGGAAATAATTTTGGAAATGCTAGGTTAAACAACATTGTACAGGCTATTATAAAATTCCTCAGTTGTTAAACACATCCATGAATACCATGAAACTCCAAGAAGATTATGTATAGCTTTTCTGAAACACTGCTTGTCTGACATACCCACCCTAGAATCAAATTCCACACAGTGTACTTAAGGGAATCCTAAAAAGAAAAAGGAATGCTTTTACTAATAATTGTTGTTTTTTATCAATGTTATATTCTTTCATAATTCTTGGTTTAAATTAGTATGTTTCTTCCACAAAGCTTTGTATTGACTTTTGCCCTTAGCCTTAAAAAGATTTTACTTTGGAGAGATAAGCAATTATATAAAACAAAGCGCATAATTTAGCCAAAAGTAGGTTTCAAGGTCCACAGGAAAGCTCCATAGGAATACATATTTAAAAAAAAAAAAACTAAAGAAAAATAATTTTCTCTCAGAAGTGCTTATGGAAGAAACTATTGTGAGCTCTGTGGTAATCAAACCTTTGAAAGAAAAGATCATAATCTGGGGCCCAAGGGAGAGATCTGGTGTTTGTGTACCCTATATGTTCATTATAACCTTTGAATTAGTCCCTAACATTTTAGAATTTTTAAGTTTCACATAGTCATCTGAATTTTTAATCATTCTTCAGAAAGGAAATTTCTAGTCACTCTTTCAACAACGTATTCACAAATGGAAGCTTCTTGCTAAAGCTGAGAAGTACCTGCTTCTTTTAGACGAACCGGCTTCCTGCATTATGTTGCTGTCTGCCTACACAACTGTCCTGGTGGCTGGACCCATTTATGCCGCCTGCTCAGCCCTATAAGCATTTGAGTTTGTGTGACCCCCTGCCGTAAGGGTGTGGCACAGCGAGAGAGGCTGGCAACTCCCAACTGTTCAGCAGTGCCTCTTTCCAGAGTCACTTCCTCCATTATTGTCAGGTTGTTCCACGGAGTGTTGGAATCTCCTCATGCTCATTTAATGACTTCCTCACCATTTTTGCATGTTAGCCTTCTACTACTTGTCCCCAAAATGCTGAGGTTTTACTGCCTAAAGCATAGCCTCTTTGACAACACACTTGGAAGAGAAGTTGTTTCATACATGTACATACAGAGTTACCCTTGACAGAGGTTGTGTTGCTAGGAGAAATTTATATTGAGTTAGGTCAGAGTTCTAATTTTATCCATTTAAAAAATAATTATTAAGGCAACAATGATAATTAAAAAGCAGGGCTTTTTTTATTATTTCTTTCCACAAATGTTTGCGTCCATTTGTGAAATATTAAAGCAGAGAAATGTATGTATGAAAATCTAAAAAGGGGCTGGGGAGATAGCTCAGTAGAATAAGTGCTTGCCTGGTAAGCACAAGGTCCTGAGTTTGAGCCCTGGTACAAAAAAAAAAAAAAAAAAGGCTAAAAAAGTGAGGATGGGAAAAGATATACTCAGGATGAGAAAGTGAGTCCAGAAAGAACATGTACACCAGGCTCTGAGGTCTGAGGATAAACCTTGATTGAGATATACACATTATGGGAGAGTAAGCTTGTATTTCCAAGAGAAAGCAGAGTGAGTGAAAGTTCTTAGTGTGAGCATTGCTTTTGCTTGTGTTGATGTTTCAGTAACCCTGCAGGGGTGTCAGCTCTAGGCAGCTGTTTTCTAATACAAACTTGGAATCAGGTTTTGTAAATAGGGAGAATGAGCCCTGTGCCCTGAGCCCTCTTCCTGTATGTTTACCTAGACTCTAGTGCCAAGAGTAGGGTAAAGGAGTGTGGGTTGTGGGTGTTGCCATTAAAGTGAGGGAGAAAGGAGGGATGAAGGAGGAAAAGGGTGGGTGAAAGCTCCAGCAGGAAGCTCTGGGAGCTTCTGCAGAGAGCAGCAGTAAGCTGCAGCTGTTACACAAGGTGATGTCTTCTGTGCTTTCAGTTAAATGAGACCTGATCTCTGCGCATACTACATAGGAATTGTTCTCATTTTTGGAACAAAGTGATACATAACTGAAAGACAGCAGTAGTGCTGGAGCCCTAGGTACCAGTGAGATGGAGTCCTAGCTACTAATAAGATAAAGAGGATTGTTTGATGTCAGGAATTTCAGACTAGTGTAGGCAGCATAGGAAGTCTCCTGTTTGTCTCTAAAAAAAAAAAAGTGATCCATGACTAAATCTCATTAATATAAAGTGATTGGAGGGAGGCCTGGTGGCACATTCCTGGAGGCTGAGGCAGGAGCATTGCTGCAACAAGTTCAAGGAAAGCCTTAGCTCAAAGTGAGTTCCAGGGTAGCCTGAACTACTACATAGTGAAACTGTCTTAAAGAAACAAAAGAAAGTGATTAGAATTACCTTGCCATGTCTGGGAGCTGCCTTCAATGTTTAATTAGGAATAAGATTAGAAGAACTTTTGTGTGGTGCTGGAATGCTTGTAATCCCAGCACTCTGGAAGGCTAAAACAGAAGAATCTTATCACAAATTTAAAATCCATACAGGGCAATTTAATGAGTTAGACAAACCCTGTCTCCTTATAAAAACTAAAAGGGGGAGGGACTGGGGATGTAGCTCAGTGGTAAGAATCTGGGTTTCAATCCACAGTCTCAAAAACTATGAATGAATGAATGAATGAATGAATGAATGAATGAAGCCTGATAGTGTACTCCAATGTGAGGGTCTTGGGCTCAAACCCCAGCACCAAACCAAACCCAACCCAACCCAAATCTACAAGAAGAGTTTTATGTAGAAACACAGACACAGATATATCTCTCCTCTCCTCTGTCTCTGTCTCAAGATAGGGTCTTGCTCTGTATTTCGGGTAATTCAGGGCGGCCTTGAACTCACTGTGGAAGCCCAGGGTAGCCTTAAACTGCCTGAAATCCTCCTGCCTCAGAATCCAGAGTGCTAGGATTGCGGGCATGCTCCTCCACACTCAGCTACATTTTAACTTGTGAAAGTAGTGTCTTTGTTCTTATAGCATCATGACTTTAAATACTAAAAATACTGATTGAACCATTTAAAGACATGCTTTATAGTATTACTAAATTTGCCTTAGTGATAAATGTCAAGGAAATGTTTGACAAACCAGCAAATGTTGTGCGGAAAGAACTGCATTTTTTTAAAAATGCAGTACAAATGGAACAAACACTTGAATGTTAATAAAATGGCCAACAGGTCCAAGTTTTCAGAGTCTAAGGAAAAAGGGAAGATTTTATGACTTCTGGCTGAGAGCAGCAGTGTCATAAAAGGTGAAAAATTAGGTGACGGTGAATTTAATGGCGATCCTAAGGAATGCGTGGACTGCTTCTGGCGAGCAAAGCCAGCTTTAGAGTCAGTTCCGGTGTTTTGCAAGTGCATTTGGCAGTGGTGCTAGCTCGCAAGCAGGAGTACTCGTGGGCATGGTCAGCCAATCTTCATGAGACAGTGTCTCCTGCATTTCTGTGCACTAAGTATTGATAGTTGAGGAGTAGGAAAAACAAAGACTTCTGCTGGTACTAAAGAAGGAAAACCCAACTGTTGTTTTTGTTTGTTTGTTTGTTTATGAATTTAGTAAAGGGTATACAGGGTCTCACTACATAGATCAGACTCAGTGATTCTTCTATGTTCAGCCTCCCAAATGCTGGGTTACAGGCGTGTGCCACCACACCCAGTCCCCAGCTGTTTTATTTTGTTTCCTATCTTAACCTGGGGAAGAAGCATGTGACTTACAGGCAGATACTGGGTGCCACTGTGTGCCCCACTGCCTTCCCAGAGCACGCAGCTGCCCCGCGCCTGACTGGTTGGTTTTCAGGCAATGCTAAACACACCTCTGGGGTGGGAGTTGTTGGGGGGGGGTGGCTTTTTTTTTTTTTAAAAAGAGATCTCATAGTTGAGTTATGATTGAAAGGAATACTTCTTAAGGTTAAGCTGATGACATTTTTTACCATATGCTAAAATAGTGCAAAGTATGGGCAGGAAATCAGAGAACTAGTTATGAGAATTAGTAGAAATATGCCATGAAGGGTTTTTTTCCCCTAATTTTTAAAACATTTACTTCATTTCTAGGCTTGCCTCTATTTAACCAAGCTCATTTAGGAAAATTAAATTAATAAAAATTATGTGCTTCAGTATTTCATCTCTCTGGTGACTTGATTGTTAATCTGTTAGATCATTTTGGGGAAAGATAAATATCTTAATTTGGGGGGTGATGAGAATTTAAATCCAGACATTTAGATGATTTATAGGGATTATTCCTAATGTTCTTCTTCCTTTAGGTGGACTTTTAAAAAGCTAAATGGTATACTTTGACAGGTGGTAAACAATCTACATGTGTTAAAACAAATCGGATCCAAAATCCAGAATCTGTCTCTAAAAGATTATCTTCAAAAACATAAGTGGTTTATGAAGATTTTGCAGTGTATTGAGTCTGAGTACTGTAGCTTCCCCCAGAAGTTTTACTGAAAGACACTTACTGCAGAGTACATTAACCAATTAAGTGGATTTTGTCGGGTTGTATATAATTGTGCTATAAATATACAAATCAGTGGGTTTATCTCTAGTCATCTCATTTGGGGTTGATGGAAATGAAGTAAGGACCAAGTAAACACCTTTTTTTCAGGTGCAAATTCGACCATGGAACCTAAGTGACAGTGACTTTGTAATGGATGGTTCTCAGCCTTTGGACCCCAGAAAAACTATCTTTGTCGGGGGAGTTCCACGACCCCTCCGAGCTGGTGAGTGGAAAGAGTAACACCACAACAACAAAAGCGATGACAAAAGTCCCCAATGCTTTAGTCTTAAATAATGTTCTGGTTCCCAGTTAGATATTCATGGTCTCTAGAAATGAAGACTATTGTGTCATATTCATTGAGGTGACTTTTTCATGATTAGATGTATTTATTCTCCCAAAATGCTGTATCTTCTTATGGTGCAAGACTAAATTTTATTACATCATTATGGTGAAAGGATAAACTCTAGTGCTTTCCTATTTAACCACATAGTTCAGGAATATTACATTTGGCCACATGCATTCTAATACTAGTTAGCATTGTTACGTGTGACTGAAAAAGAAGTCAGCCTGTCAGAAATCGGCCAGGTGCAGCTAGCTGTGTATCCATTCAGTGGAGAGCCAAACCTTTGCTGGGAATTGTACCCCTGGGAATCACATTGAGCCCATCCAAAGTGAGATGCATTCTTATTTTTCCTTCTGAAGTTTGAGAAATGAATTATATATTTGGTCATTTTTATTAGGAATATAAAAGCTTCCCTGCTTTTGTGAAACTTCTTTCCAATGGTGATACAATTGTGCTGTGGAGATTGAGCAGATCATAACTGACTAGAGTTTGGAGTGATGCTGAAAAGATGACTTCAATATTTAAATCCAGTGACAAATCTAAGCAGCTGTCCCTCAGTGTCTTAATGATCAGTGTTACTGCCAATAGAGTAAAATTACTTCCAAGAGCTGATTTTAAAGCTCTTAGAATATATTGATTTTTAAACAAAAAATAAGGTTACCATTGCCAATGTAGTTGTGTAAGTATATTACTTTTGTTATTTGTGAGCAAGTAGACTTGGTACTACCACAAAACTGATAATAAAAGCAGAGATCACTGAAATCATCTTGTGAAACAGAGCTATAAAAGGTAGCCTATTGCTATTTGGCTCTATGACTTTGTTGAGTTCCTAGTTCTGAAAGGTTTGCAATATTTTGATATATTTGTTGAATCTCTACTTTATACTTTAAAAGTTAATCTTAGACATATATAAAAATATGCTCTCATACCAGCGAGATAGCTTAGCAGTCTAAAGCACCTGCTTAGGCAAGCTTAGTCAATTGCAGGGACCACGGTTCAATCCCCAGCACCAAAAGCCGTGCCAGCCTCACCCCAAAGCGGGCTGAGTCAGACACACATACCACACATGCACACAACACACATAGACAAAAGCTCTCATTTCAATTGAAGGACCACCTGCAGTGCAGGCCCTGCCCCCAGGGTGTCCTGAGACAACAATTGAGACTGGGCGTGGTGGCGCAAACCTGTAATCCCAGCTCTTGGGAGGATGTAAACAGACGGATCTCTACTGAGTCCTGTCTAGTAGTGAGATCCTCAACGCCCTGTAGACCCTTCCCTAAAATACCCAAAAAAAAATTTTTTTGAAGGACTTTAAAATATAAATTATGACTATGGAGTTTATAATTTTATACTATTAAAGAAAGCAGCACAGCACCTGCCTGGCAAGTGTGAGGTCATGAGTTCAATTCCCTGTACAAAAAAAAAAAAAAAAAAAAAAAAAAATTTATTTTCATCCAAATGGAAAACTGCACTAAAGAGAGCAAGCAAAGCCACAGAGATGTCTCTTCTTTATCTGCTGTCAAGAATAAGTCCGCGGAACGCCAGCTCACCTAGGAGCAGCATTATGAGAGGAGAACAAATGCAGCCCTTTAAAAAAAGGTGAATGAGAGTGCTATGGAATAGTCCTGACTTTTATAATTGATCTTATGATCAGGAGTCAGGGGAAGAAAACTTCTTTTAGTTTTATATTCTACAAATGAATATTCATTGCTAGTATTCTTACTATTCCTTTTTGCAACTATATAAGCACAAATTTATTTTTAATATTCTAATATTAGCCCAACTCCTTTTTTAATATGTGGGAATCTGAACAAATATTCTGAAAGAAAAGGTCCCACCATAATATAATATTAGAATTAGATTTAACTTTTTATGTATATTTTTAACTCATAGAAACTCCAGTTTACAAGCTAAATTACCTCTTGTATTCATCTTTATTTTTATTGTCTTTAATGATTTACTGTTTTTAATTATTTA